CCTTCCTTCCTTCCTTCCTTCCTCTTTCTTATTTTTTCTTTCCATGGACACTGTGTGTGCCCTGCTGGAGAACTTTTTCCCCCTATAAATATATATTTTTTCATTTCAGAGGGAGAGAGAGATAGAAGCATCAGTGATGAGAGAAAATCATTGATTGGCTGCCTCCTGCACACCCCACTGGCGATCGAGCTGGCAACCCAGGTGTTTGCTCTTGACTGAAATTGAACCTTGGACCCTTCAGTCTGCAGGCCAATGCTCTATCCACTGAGCCAAACCAACTAGGGCACTTCCTCTGTTTAAAAACTCATTATAGATGTCTCCTTTTTCTAGGAAAGCTTTCTTTTAGGCATATGTTTTTTAAAAAATATATTTCATTGATTTTTTTTACAGAGAGGAAGGGAAAGGAATACAGAGTTAGAAACATCGATGAGAGAGAAACATCGATCAGCTGCCTCCTGCACACCCCCAACTGGGGATGTGACTGCAACCAAGGTACATGCCCTTGATCGGAATAGAACCTGGGACCTTTCAGTCCACAGGCCAACGCTCCATCCCAGTGATGGCGAGCCTTTTGAGCTTGGCGTGCCAGCATTTTGAAAAACCCTAACGTAACTCTGGTGCCGTGTCAATATAGAAATTTTTTGCTATTTGCAACCATAGCAAAACAAAGATTTATATTTTTGATATTCATTTTATATATTTAAAAGCTATTTAACAAAGAAAAAACAACCAAAAAAATGAGTTCGTATGTCACCTCTGACACGTGTGTCATAGGTTCGCCATCACTGCTCTATCCACTGAGCCAAACCGGTTAGGACTTTTAGGCATATTTTTATCATGATTCCTCTACTCCATCATATTCTCTATTCTTTGTTACCTGTGTTCCTGTAACATTTTGCAGTTACTTTGTTGTAGTAATTGCTATATTTTACTCTATTTGCTTTTGTGTTTAGTCCCCCTTGCTCCAACACAAACTTAGAATCACTCAATACATTTTGTTGAATGAATGATGGAGTAAAGTAAAAAATATTTCAACATTGACCTAGTTTTGATTGATCCATTTGGTTGGGCTTTTACATCAATTTTATTTGTACAAAATAAACAAATGAGCAATACAGATAGCATGGTTAAGAGAGTCATACTCCAAAGTATCTTAGGAAATATTTTATTAAATGTTTGTTCTTATGAGCAGATAATGAGATTTGTTGATGATTTCATTATATATCACAAATCTCTATTTTTGTCTAAATATTTCAGTGTTTTTCTTTGTGGTGTCACTTTTTTCTCTTTGTCATTTCTATTTGGATGCTGGCCTTAGACACCCTCTACCCTAAACATAACTTAATTCATTTCTTAAACTTGATCTGGACTTTTCCATTTGTGTTTTTTTATATCACTACTTTGTAAGTTGCTTAGGTTTCTCTGCAGCATCTTTTTAAAAATAATTATTTATTTATTTTTCAACTTTTATTGTTGAAACTATTACACATGTCCTTCATTCCCCCCCACATCCTTTTGCTCACCTTCTCCCAGCCTTCTCCCTTCCCTGTCCTTCACCACACTGTTGTCTGTGACCAGGAGCTATGCATATATGTTCTTTGACTAATCTCTTCACCTTCTTTTATCTAGCCCTCCTGCCAAACTCTCCTTTGACATTGCTTCAGGCTGTTCCCATGCTCCATGTCCTGGTTCTATTTTGTTCATCAGCTTATTTTATTCATTAGATTACACATATAAGTGAGATCAGATGGTATTTGTCTTACTCTAACTGGCTTATTTCAATTTGCATAAAAATCTCCAGGTCCATGCATGTTGACCTCTGAGCTGGGGATCATGCCTCAGGTGGGAGGCTGAGGCCGGGCAGGTGTGGCCTGGGTTAGGGAGCTGGGGAGGGGGCGGGGGGCAGCATGGGCAGGGCGGGCACAGAGAACGTGAGCTTCTCAGTCTGGAGGAAGGCAATGTCCTTCTGATAGTAGGCGGCCTCATTGATGAACACGGGGTACACAGTGGGCTCCCCTTCATAGAGCACGTCCTTGCCACTGAACATCCGGAAGATGGGTGCTCCAGGCCGCAGTGGCTCGAAGTCTTGGTCCTGCAGCTGAGGATGCACGTTGCCTGCCAGGTCCCCGGCCTCCGTGTGTGGGAAGTCCACGCTGCTCACTTTTCTATACACTTCCATCTCAAAGGCAGGAAATGCGGTGCCCTGGTTGAAGAGCTGGATGAAGTCCAGGGCTGCGGCCACCAAGGCCCTCATCCTGACGAGAAGGTCAGCCCGCAGCACTCCCTGAGGCTGGGGGCCCAGCTCCAGGCCCAGTCCACTCTTGGCCATGGAGTTGACGCTGTAACTCTCTTCTCCGGGCAGCTGGTACAGGAAGACCCTGCAGGGCAGCTCCGGGCTCTGCAGCTGTAGGTGGCGGCACAGATGCATCGCAAAGACGTTGTGGGCAGATTCCACGATGAGGCAGGTACCCATGCTGGTCGTGGTGTTGTGCAGGTCCAGGACGAAGTCAAAGGCCTGGCCCGAGGCCTTGGGCCCCAGCAGTTGGTTCAGCTCTTGGACCCTTGTCACCTCATATGGGTCATCCGGGTGTACCCTGGCAGTGAGGAAGGCGCTGGTGAACTCGCGGTTGAGGTCACAGTCCACGTAGCGGTGGCAGACGGCTGTTGCTGCTGGGTTGGCCAGCACGGGCACTGCGGAGAACCTGGGTCTCTGCAGCTCCCCCGGGGCTTGCAGCCAGTACTGCACCAGGTAGACACCAGACATCTTATTGCTGTGGGTGCCCCCGATCACTGCCACATGGCTCAGGGCTCTCGAGGCTCAGCTGCGAGCACATCCCGTGTGGGTGGAGGGCCCGGTGGGTGGGCCTGGTTAGGGCCTGGTGCTGAGCTGGGGTGGGGTGGGGTGGTGAGCTTCCTGAGGTGTGACGAGTCCCAGAGTCCCAGCCAGGCAGCTCAGCTGTCTGTCAAAAGATGTGAGTGAGGGCAGCTCAGCGGAGTGCCACTGCCCCTCCACCTCCACTGACCCACTCAAGGGCTCTCCCTCCCGGTGGTCTAACCCAGGAGGCCCTCAACATTGCAACATAGGAGTTAGAACAGCCGTGGGGAAACTACGGCCCGTGGGCCGGATCCTGCCCGTTTGACATGAATAAAACCAAAAAAAAAAAAGACCGTACCCTTTTATGTAATGATGTCTACTTTGAATTTATATTAGTTCACACAAACACTCCATCCATGCTTTTGTTCCGGCCCTCCGGTCCAGTTTAAGAACCCATTGTGGCCCTTGAGTCAAAAAGTTTGCCCACCCCTGGTATAGATTCTTTCTCAGCTGTCTTTACTGACTCCTATCCCTTAATGTTAATGCTTCCTGAGGTTTCAGGCTGACTTCTGTTTTTTTCTTCATTCTGCCATGCTTTCTTGAACACATGTTTTTCATGATTTCCTTTCTGTGTTCATTTCCTCAGCCCATTTTTCTGGTGAGCACTTCTAGTCCTTAGGTTTGCTACCTAGAATGCCCATCTGATTGTCTAGTAGAAAAATCTGTGCTTAGCCAGTGTTGCTCAGTGGTTGAGCATTGGCCTATGAACCAAGAGGTCACTATTCAATTCCCAGTCAGGGCACATGCCTGGCTTGGTCCCCAGTAGGGGGTATGCAAGAAGCAGCTGATAAATGATTGTCATCATTGATGTTTCTATCTCTCCTCTCTCTCTCTCCTTCTCCCTTCCTCTCTGAAATCAATTAAAATATATATAAAGAAAACCCTTCCTCTCTGAAATCAATTAAATTATGTATGAAGAAAACCTGAAACTTAGAACATCAAAAATTAAGTACATGTTTTTTTTTCCATTCACCTAATTTTTCCATTTTGATTATTGATGCTGCCAGTCACTCAGTTACCTAAGTTATAAACCCAGGAATCATCTTGACTTCTGTCTCCTATTCCTCATTTTCCATTAGCTGTCAAGTCCTGCTGATGGAGCTATTTCCCCTCCATTCCCTTCACTATTTCTTATGAGCCAGGTTCTAATTTCCTGAGCAGAACATTGTAAAAAGCCTCTTCTGTTTGGTCCTGGACATTGCAAACAAGTTTGACATGCTTGTATGTTGGTTATATTATGTAGGAATGCCAAAGGCAAAATAGTTATGGGTGCCACACCACTAATCCCTGTTTATCCATTAAAGGTCAGTTTCCTAAACATTTTTATTAGATGACATTGTTAGTAAATATTTATGCTTTTTATAAGAAACTTGCTTAAGGATTAAGAGTATGATTTATAAGGATTAGAGGGGAAAAGCAAGAAAAGATGTATAGAAGTAGAAGTCTGGCTGGGTTAAGTGCCAGAAATGATCTAATAGGACATTTTCTTAATGAGCTAGAAAAAAAGATTAAAAGTTTGAAAGTAATACTTGGTGCTTGGTAGTCAAATATCAGTTAGGAGCAGTTAACTATAGGAAGATCTTGAGACTGAATAGGCAGAAATGACGTCTTTGCTATTGGGAATTGTAAGCTAATCTATTTGAGTAGTACTCTGAAGAGATGCTATTTAGCTGTCAGTTAATACCCAGGAGAGACTCCTGATATCATTATTTATGTTCCTGGAAGATATTGGCCTAATGTACTAATGCTGCAGATGTGGTAACATAATCACTGTGCCTCTACATCGTCTAATGCAGTGGTTCTCAACCTTCTGGCCCTTTAAATACAGTTCCTCATGTTGTGACCCAACCATAAAATTATTTTCATTGCTACTTCATAACTGTAAGGTTGCTACTGTTATGAATCGCAATGTAAATATCTGATATGCAGGATGGACTTAGGCGACCCCTGTGAAAGGGTCGTTCGACCACCAAAGGTGTCGCGATCCACAGGTTGAGAACCGCTGGTCTAATGTGTTTCATAACCACAAGTTGTTTAGTATAGAATCATTATTTTCTGAAACCAGATATAACCATAGAAATGCTCTTAGTTTCTTGAATTTTTTTATTTTCAAGCAGATTTTAGAATTTGTCTTGCTTATAACATTTTAAAAAGTCCAAATTTGTAGAAGAAAGTACTTTAAAATGTGAGTCCTTTATATTCTAAATGACTTAGCACATGTTTAAAAAGAATTGAATTTTATGTATTGTGAATATTTTGCACAAGTATTATATGTATTTACATTAGCTTTTGCTGTAATATTGGTCTTTATTTACTTTCTGATGATTTTAGGATTTATGAGGGTGGCACTAGATTCTCACCTAGTGTAACTTACTGTAGAAAATCTATTTGAACATTCTGTATAGTAGTATTTTGAAGTTGAAAGTGGGGTGTGTGTATCATTTTGGCTTATATTGTTCTGCCTAGGAGCTCCACTCTGAAGGAGGTGAGACAGAAAGAAAAAGTTTCAGAGAGATTTACCAAGATGGACCAAGGTGGTGAATGGCATTTTGAGCCAAAGGAGTAGTGTGTTCCCTGGTAAGAAGTCCTGAAAGATCATGGTGTGATACAGACCCTTGGGTGGTTTGGTGTGAATGGAAGGCAGAGTTGGATAGTGGCGGGAGAGAGCAGCTGCCAAGTTTCCTTTAAAGCATTTAAAGGAGTTTCCTCCCTCCTCCCCCCTTCCCCCTTTCAGACTGCCTTTTATTTTTATTCATTTATTTTATTGATTTTAGAGAGAGGAAGGAAGAGAGAGAAACATTGATATGAGAGAAAAACATCAATCAGTTGCCTCCCAAAATCTGGGTATGTGCCTTGACTAGAACTTGAACCCACCACCTTTTGGTGTACGGGACAGTGCTTCAACAAACTGAGCCTCAATGGCCAGGATTACAGACTGCCTTTTAAAGAACAGAGAATCAATCATGAGAGATTTTTTAAAACTACATTTGTATTTCAGAGAAGAAGGGAGAGGAAGAAAGAGATGGAAACAACATTGATGAGAGAGAATCATTGATCAGCTGCCTCCTGCACGCCCGCTACTGGAGATTGAGCCCACAACTCAGGCATGTGCACTCCTGGTTCATAGGTCAATGCTCAACCACTGAGCAACGCTGGCCCGGCAATCATGAGAGATCTTGATAGAATTTTGTATTTAAAAAATCACGGAGTCTTAAAGTTGGATTCTCATTGTACTCCTTATCTGTCTTTCCTCCAATCTTTCAGTCTCAGAAAATGGTAGCATCATTTGATTAGCTGTCCAGGCCAAAAACCTGAGAGTCATTCTTGATTTCTGTCCTTCCCTTTTCTCTCATCTCTTGCATTTAACTCCTCACCAAGTGCTGTAGCTCCTATCTCCCCCACACATCTTCAACTCTATTCCTTTCTGTCCATCTACTTCAGCCTACTTAGTCCATCATCATTTCTTTTCTTAGGGTAGGACTCCTTCCTATCTAGCTTCTTAACTGATTTCCCTGCCTCCATGTTTTTTCCCCTTTGACTTATTTTCCATATAACAGTGAGAATGATCTTTTAGAAGTGAAAATCAGATCATGTCATTCTCCTGTTATAACCTTCAGTAGATTTTCATTGCGCTCATTTCATAACTAGCTCCTCTTCTTTTAGGCCACAACTGAAATATGCCCCTCTTAAGATGCCTTCCTTAATGCCCATTCTACTGTTTTCTCCTATAGCATTTCATAGTTTCCTTCACAGGTCTTATGATTTGTAATTACATTTTTATTTGTGTTTTTTTTTTGTTTGTTTTTGTTTTCTATACTAGCCCATAATTGCAAAAGCCATAGGGACCATGCCTGTCTTGTCAACTTTTTTATACCTCGCACATTGCTATGATCATAGCAGGTGAATAATAAATATTTGAATACACGAGTGAAAAGAAACTTGAGAGATTTTCTAATTCTACTGTCCAAGAGTCTTCGCCATCTCTGGCAAGTGATTGTCAGCTTGTTTTTGAACGCTTTCAGAGATGGGCAGCTTAGTGTTTTATGTGGTAGCCTATGACCTTGTTTGGTAATTATGATAGTTTGAAATATTTTCTTATTTTGGGCTTAAAACTGCTTTTCTTTTTTTTCCAACTGTTGATCCCAGTTCTGCCCCTCTCTGACACCCTTTAAACTGTTTGACAGCAACAGTCATATGTTCTCTTAGTTTTGTAAACGCTGTACTTTTCATCATGTGACATGGTTCTTCACCCTTACCCCTTTGTGTATATACATTTTGTTAGGGTAACTTTAAAAGTGGTATATTGAAGCATAAAGATGTTCATAATCTTTGGTCCTATAATTCATGGTTAAATAATTTATAGCACATTTGTTCAATATAATACATTGTATCCATTAATAATAAATGTAATGATAGAAATGTGGGCAATATTTATAAAATGATATTTTAAAAATAGAATATTAAATTATATCTAGACCATTATTATAGCCAAATGAGTGTGTAGATGTGATTTCGGGGGGCATAAAAAGTAATGAGAAAGTTGTGTTAAGGTGGTACAAGATGGTTTCAAATAAAGAGTATTTTATAGTTAGTTTAATAATAAAGGAGAAAATGTAATGCTTAGAACTATTAATGTCACTCCAACTAAAGGTAAGTGAGACTTTAATAGCCCGCAATAACTCTTTTGGTTTCGATACTGAGAGAAACTGAAATACAAATGGTAGATTAAATTATTGCATCAATGCTAAATTTAGTCAGGTTCATAACTGTATAGTGGTTACATTAAAAAAATTCTTATTGGGAGGTTGGGGGTTAATGGGGGGGATGAGGACACATTTGTAATACCTTAACTAATAATAATAAAAAAATTCTTATTCTTAAGAAATGCATATGAAAATACATATTTTTATATTTTATGCAAGAGAGCAAATGGTAACCAAATGGCATAAAATATTAACAACAAGTAAATCTGGATAAAGACTATACAGATACTCTTTGTACTCTTCTTACTCTTGCAACTTTTATTTATTACATCTAGTTTTATTTAAAAGTTTCTTATAAGAAGCTATTTTTATCAGATTTATCTCTTTTTCAAGGCTTATCTGTCTTCCTCAGGCACATTTTGTGATTCATAAAATGGAATAAAACAACAGGCTTTTTTTTTTTTCTAGAAATAATAGCAAGATTTGAAAAGATAGGAGAGAGGATAAATTCTTTGTTTTTTTGTTTGTTTGTGTATTATGATAGCCTCTAGCCACATGTAACTATTTAAATGAGTTAAAATTAAATAAAAATAAAAATTCAGTTCCTTAGTCACCCTCACCATATGTACTCAATAACTACATGTGGCTAGTGACTACTGTATTGGACAGGAAAGATATAGAATATTTTCATTATCAGAAAGTTCTATGGAAAGTGCTAGAATAAGTAATTGTTTGGGATGGGATTACTCATGAGAGGAGGGAGCCTGATTCCGGCACCCGAGAACTGCCCTCTTGCAATTCAGGACCCCTCGGGGGATGTCAGAGAGCTGGTTTCAGCCCAATCCCCGCAGGCCAGGCTGAGGGACCTCACCTGCCGGAGGGACCCTGCTCACACTGCAGACGCCCTTTGAGCTGAGGCAACGCCCCAGGTGCGACTGGCTGGGGAGGGCCGCAGGAAGTTGGCTCCAGAGCGTATCCAGCCTGTCTTGCCCAGTCCCGCCCTGCCGGCCACCTTCTAATTATTTTCCTTTCACTGTCTACGAATCTGTGTACCAGGGCACTAATATGAATATAAGTTCTTTGGTTAATCTCTTCCCCTCACCCCCTTTCCTTCTGATATTACCAGTCTGTTCAGTGTTTCCATGCCTCTAGTTCTATTTTATTCATCAGTTTATTTTGTTCATTAGATTCCTTGCTCTTTTATTTTGAATTTTAGATTTAATTGTTGATAGATATGTATTTATTGCCATTTTGTTGTTTTTAATTCCTTTTTTTTTCTTAAAAAAGACCCTTCAACATTTCATATAATACTGGTTTGGTGGTGATGAACTCCTTTAGTTTTTTTCTTGTTTATGAAGCTGTTTATCTGACCTTCAGTTCTAAATGATAGCTTTGCTGGGTTGTAGGTCCTTGCTTTTCATCACTTTGAATATTTCTTGCTACTCCCTTCTGGCCTGCAAAGTTTCTGTTGAGAAATTAGCTGATAGTCATATGGGAGCTCCTTTGTAGGTAACTAACTGGTTTTCTCTTGCTGCTCTTAAGATTCTCTCTTTGTCTTTAACTCTTGGCATTATAATTATGATGTGTTTTGGTGTGAGCTTTTTTGGGTTCCTCTTGTTTGGGACTCTGAGCTTCCTGGACTTGTAGTTCTATTTCTTTCACCAGGTGGAGAAGTTTTCCATCATTATTTTTTTCAATAGGTTTCAATTTCTTGCTCTCTCCCCTCTCCTTCTGGCACCCCCATGATGAGAGTGTTAGTATGCTTGAAGTTGTCCTAGAGCAGCGGTTCTCAACCTGTGGGTCGCGACCCCTTTGGGGGTCGAATGACCCTTTCATAGGGGTCGCCTAAGACCATTGGAAAACAATATATAATTACATATTGTTTTTGTGATTAATCACTATGCTTTAATTATGTTCAATTTGTAACAATGGAAATACATCCTGCATATCAAACAACTTTCAGGTGCCCATTGGCCATTTGTACGTCTTCCTTAGAAAATGGCATCTTGTTTACATTAAGCTACCAAGTGCTCAGAAACAAAAACCATCAGCCCTTAGCTTTTTATCTACACACTGTAAGAACTGATGAGGATCTATGTTTTCTTTGCATTGAAGTGCTGAAGATGGCTTCTCCTGTCTTCACATGTACTTACTTCCCTGTGTTTGTTTCTATGTTTTAGGTAGAACAGCTATGTCTCCCAGAGTGCCTTGTGTAGTAGGTGTCCTGTAGGGCCCAGTGGCTTAGCCTCCCCGGTCACCTGAGCTGGGTACTCTAGGTGCAACCCTGTGTGGTCTGTGTGTACTGTCCTGTTGTAGTTGAGGCTTGATTGCTGTTGGCATCACTGGGAGGAGTTGACCCCCCAGGCCAATGGGCTGTGAGGACCAGATGTGACTACAGCAGAAGAGCTGCTGTGCAGTAGAAACCCCTATGCAGCAGGACTTGCCTCAGTGGGGCTTTGGTGCTCACTCATTCTGCCCCTTGAGTGTGTTGCATGTGGATGTGTTAGAGTTAACCTGCTATGGTCTGAAGCTGTCTATTGGGTGCACTGATTCTGGGGCCTCATGAGAGGTATAAAGTCAGCCACTGCCTATTCTCTGCCTGGGCCTTCTGGCACAATAGAGTGATGTGCAGGTGGCTGCTGCTTGTTCTGGGCTTGGAGGTTCTCAGGAGATACCAACCTGTGAACCTTGGCAAGCTGTTGCTAGTGCCAGGCCTGGGGCCACTTATCCAGAGGTATGGGGCACACTGAGTCCAGCTGCTACTTATTTGATAGGTTTTAGGAAAATCTGAAGCCTGAGCCAGGACAGGTCATTCAGATGGAAAAGCCACT